AGCTTTTTTTTATTAAAAATTTACTTATTATTTTTTTATATTTTAATTTGATAATAATAAATTGAAAAAAGGCATAACCTTACTTTTGAAGATTAAAAAAATAAAATAAAATAAATTGAAAAAAGATGTGGTAACTTAGTAAAGTGGTTAAGTTGTTATCTCAAACAGCATATCTAAAATTCAATTTCTACTAATGGCAAAAAATTCAATTTTTTCATATAATAGCAACTTTCTTGTATATTAAGAAAAAAATCCTGTTATATCTGATTATACTTTATTAAAAAGAATATCTATTGCATTATCAGGTTGATCTAAAGAAAATTTTAGATTATTTGTTTTTTTTTTTTGAATTTTAAGGTGAGGCCATACCTCTAACTTTATTAAAACTCAATTGAATCTCTTTACAAGCAAATTTACAGGAAAGAAATTACATATAACTTTTATATCTTAAGGATGTCAAGAATAAAGACTCAAAAGCGATAAGCCAAAGTGGCTAACCTTGACTATAAAAAAAAAAAAGAATAAAGATTCAGACAAAATTTTCTGTGGCCTAAACCTAATTTTAGATTATTTATATAATATATAAATTATATAAAAGAGATATAATATCAGTAAAATAGTATAAATCTATAATAAGTTCTTGGGATTGTATTAATTTAATAAATAGTATTAAGAAAGCCCTCTTAGCAAGATTTGAGTAAAGATGTAATACAAGCTTTCGATGATAGCTATCAGAATAAGCTTTATCTAAGGCTGATAAACTAAATAAGACAAAAGTATCAACAAGTTACTTTATCAATTAGACCACTAGATCAATCAAAGAAAGAAACTAATATTACTTCTAAACCATTTGAATTGATAGTCTGAAGAGACTGGCTAAATGATACTAAAAGAGAAGATATTAAATTATCTTGAAGGAAGAATATTAAGGTTTAGATAAACTTTACAAGAGCCTGGTAGTTAAGCGATATAATCTGTTTATAAAGGTTTAAAACCTATTTGGCTAATATATCTGTAAAAAGAATTAATGTTGTAACCTGCTTATTAAGGTATAGAATTTATCTAGTAATACCTATCAAAAAAAGACTAGATCAATATTAAAAGTAAATAACAGATGGCTCTAGTAGGCAATACACTTGAAAATAAATCAGTTAACTATGCTGGTAGTTCTATAGATAGTTTATAATAATCCTAGGCTGTAAAATGACTAATGTATCTTATGATATCAGGTAAGATTAGTGGATTGGTATAAAAACTCAGATTAGAGAGTTTAAATAGGAGATATATAGGCAGATCTTAGATATAGCATATGAAGAGTAACTATAGATAGAAATAGATATAGCAGAGCTCTTAAATAAACAATAACTAAAGTTGTACATGTGTTCATATGTATCCTCGTCTGAAGCCTCTTGAAAAGAGCATCACATGCTTCTATAAACTAATAAAAGTGATAAGCCAAAGAGGATAACCTTGACTATAAAAAAAATAATAATAATAAATTGAAGATAAATACTTTTAAATGTAATCAATAAGTAAGGCCACACAAATTTAATTTATTGATTTTCATGACATGAAATTTTTAAACAGACCCGGCCGGCCGGCCGGCTTTTTTTTTAAAATTTCATATATAAAAATTTTATAAAATTTTTATAAATTTTTTTTAAAAAACCCCACCCGGTTATTAAAACATATAAAAATTTTTTTACAGTTTTCGAATTTCGACCCGGCCGGGTTATGAAAATCAATTAATTAATTTTGCATGGCCTAATTAAATTTCAGGAATTTATTTTTTTTTATTAATTGTTGATTGATATATATTTTTTACAAAATAGAAATATGATAAAAATATAATTAAAATATACATCCTAATATATTCATTTCAAGACATGAAGATTAAAGCAAAATTGATATTTATTACTAAATTTATGATTTCGATGATTTCGAAATTTATTATCGATCAACATACTAACATTTTAATTTAATAAAAACTGTTTAAGCAAGAATGAAATCAGGTTAATTGAAGTTCAACCAGGTATTTATTAATTCATTTGGATCTTTTTTTGATAAATGAATATCTATTTCAGGATCCTTTAAACGCTGTACAACTTGACATTAATCACATGAGTTTTAAAAATTTTTTCCTATGTATAAATATAATGGTTGTTCATAACAGAGTAAGAACGGAGCGCTGGGTCAAGATCTAAACCTAGCCGTTTTTGGATAGCAACGCACCTCTTCTCAACTTGCTAAGCCAATTAGCACTAAGGTAAATAACATTAAAAAGAAAAACCGTGTACGTACGTACGTACGTATTTTTTTCAAACGTCTCGAACAAACAATATGAATTCCAAATAAAAAGGTTTAATTAAAGATCGATCTGCATTTACGAACGAATAATATCGTTCTAAAACCATTACACAGATTTTTTTTATTCTATATTAGGATCAGCAACTATGATTTCCGCGACTCGGAATATCGATATCATATGTACGTGCGTACGTACTCATCTTGACAAATGCCGCCACCACCAACACAAGGCCTAATATACAATACAGAGGATGTTTCCATAGCGGTATTTACAACTGCTACAAACTACCTTCGTACTCGGCTACCGTCCGAGCTTGCCAAACCAAAAGTAGCAATCATATGTGGCTCAGGACTTGGACAATTGGCTGATACTATTGAAAATAAGGTGGAATTTGCATATGAAGACATACCAGGGTTTGTTTCCAGTACAGGTAAAGCACTGGCATTCTTTTGAAAGTTTACCGAATACTGTTTTTTTTAATTGTTTTTTTTTTTTTTTTGCCTTTAAAGTACTGGGCCATGCAGGAAAACTCGCTTTTGGATTCCTTGGTGATAAAAGAACACCGACGGTTTGCATGGTCGGAAGATTCCATTTTTATGAAGGGCATACACTTAAACAAGTTACATTACCTATAAGAATTTTTAAGATGTTAGGTGTGGAAATATTGATCGGTAAGTCATTCACTTGCGCATCCAAGCACATATGCGTTATCATTTCATCTGCTTATTTGAACATGCTATTTATGATTGCAAATAGTTACAAACGCGACCGGAGCATTGAGCAGAGATTTCAAAGTTGGCATGATAGGCGTAATAACTGATCACATTTCCCTTCCTGGCTTAGCCGGAAACAACCCTCTATTTGGTCCGAACGTGTCTGCTTTCGGAACGAGATTTCCGCCAATGTCCGACGCGTATGATTATGATCTTCGTGTAGTTGCATTTAAAGCTGCTGATTCTCTGAAATTCCCCAGAGGAACGTTGAAAGAAGCTATTTACACTTTCGTCGGCGGACCCTCATTTGAGACTAGGGCTGAGGCAAGGTACCTGAAATCAATAGGTGGTGATTTAGTAGGAATGTCTACGGTGCCTGAGGTTATTGTGGCAAGGCATTGTGAAATTAAGGTACTCGGTTTAAGTTTGGTGTCTAATATGGTAGCTATTGGAAAAGGTAAATCTGCGGATCCGGAAGTGCAGGATTTGAACGGTATAGAGGAGCCATTGGTGAATCATGATGAGGTACTTCAGATTGGAAAAGAAAGAGCCTTGGATATGCAGAGATTAGTTAGAACCATTATAGACTTAATTTCATCCTAACGTGCGTTTTAATAAAATAGGAATTTGTTTTAAAACCACCGTAAATGGCCGGATAAAGGATCTCACACATCAGATCTACTATGTACTAGATCCGGATGCGAATTACGGAATTTGCATTAATAAAATTAATAAAATATAGTTTTTTCAAATATCCAAACTGCCCACTAGAAATGAAAAATACGCGTGTCTTTAAAATTCTTCTCTTAATGATATAAATTCTCAATCATGTACTACACTGGCGATCATAAGTAGTGCAACAAAAAAAAAAATTTACTTAGATCATACTACCTCCCGCAATTCCGGC